TATATATAGATAGATAGTTTGCACGGGCCTGGGATTCCAGAATCCCGACTTGTGATTCCTAATTCCGGTGCCGAGATTGAGAAAATGGTTGGGATTTTGCAAATGATATACACATAAGAGAATGTATACGACTGGCACAAACCCAACATCATTCAACAACTCAATTAGTTGCGGCTGGCAAACAATTCAAGCAATGTGACTGATTTCAATGAAAAGAGAAGAGATGAGAGGCAGTAGCACGCAGACGGTTGTAATGCGATAGAGAATGCAGCGAAGCATGACAACTGAAAGCAACTGCTCCATCCACATGAGAAAGCATACTGCATATGGCAGTACGGCAAGGAATGCCTCGCCTCATGCTTCTTCTCTTCAGCCACCCACCCGTCCGAAACACAAATCTATCTTCCATCCATCCATATTTATACCATTGCCGTCGTTTATACCCTTCCATTATTCGTACAACTAACTCACTATAAAATTTATCTGCTTCCTTCCTCCGCACCATTATTAAAGCTGATCAACCCCAACCGAAAGCACCCTCAAACAAACTCAATTCGAAATAATAAGCAACCAACCAAGCAATCGACCAATGAATGCCCCAATCCCAGTTTCAACCCTAACCACAACCGCAAAATCACTAATCAATTAGCAAACGGTACAATAAACAGTTCGATCAGCATTCAACCTTTCTTCAATAATTAAATTCTGAAATTTCTTTCTGGTAACAATAACAATAACGATGTACAATATTTCATCATTTCTCATGATTCGTGCTCCTATTTGGCCGTATGGCAGATTGCTATTTTCACCCTCCAATAATCTACAATACCAATGCTGTGAATAATTCGTCGAATGATAGTCCTTATGACAGATACGTAATTACTAAACAGATGATTAGTTAAGAAGCAAATACGAAGAAAAACTTGTGAAGCAAACATGAAGAAAAATTCACCATCGTCAATAATCTGCAAACCTCCACAGTTAACCAGCTTTAAAAACACTGATCTACCGGGTTATAATGATGTATGTGAAGAACGCATAACTTGATTGTCTGACGATTGTTCACTAATTAAATGCATCCACAATACAGTAAAAATAAGGCTGCTTGATGAACCTGATTAATCAATTCCCTCTGAAGTGGACAGATTCGTTCCGGATGAATTTCGGAGGTACAAAAATGAGAACTAAAAATGATTATCGAATATTAATGCAATTCGTTTATGAAGTTATGGAAGACGAAGCGAGAAGACGATGATTATCCGATGGAACGCAAACGATGGTATACGCAAGGAAGGATGTACGATAACATTTTTGTACCTCCAAAATTCATCCGGATTGGGATATGAGAAAGCGCATACGAAACGGGAACGAAGGTGTATGTGCCTTAACTAAACGAATGAGTTTTTAATAGGATAATAACAAGAACAATCGTTTATTCATCAATATCAACACGTACGCAGTTCACAATAAAATATATCCTAATATGTACGAGGTACTCATTTTGTCTTTGAAATACGAAGTTAAAAATGAAAGGAGAACATTCTTAAAAAGCGTATCAATTTCGAGTAATATGAATTCGGAAGAAACCAGATGAAGATCATACGCGTGAAGCAGATGGCTTTAAAGTCGAAATGGCATGAACAGCAATTCAACGGTTACTTCGTATAGTGAAGAAATAGATGATGAAGGATGAGGCAAGACATTCAGAGTAAATATTGATGAGTCGGGTTCAACTGAATTGAATTGCATCACTAGTAGTGATATTCGCATTCGCATTGCTCATTGCTTACGTTTGTTCGTTTTCAGCTTTTTATTACATCACATACACAATAAATTCTAAATACCCTACTTCCTCGCATAACTTCCCCCACAACCGACTCACAAAAAATGTGTGAAGTCTAAATTCTCCTTCCTGATAATAAATTCTTCTCTAAAGAAATATTTCACTTACCCACACACTAAATTCATGAATGCATGAGTTTATTACTTGAGTAAGTGAAATATTTTACGGTTCTAAAACGTTTCTCAAACTGATGTTATCAAAAATAAGTACTCATTCAAGTACTCTCTATTCTCTATCACTCGCGACTCAAAAATGTTCAATAAGTCTTCTTACACTGTGAAAAAAGAAATTACACCGGTATATCTGTATCGTCGCCTTAATAGAGCCCTTTTGATTTCAAAAACTACACACACATAAAACGGCTGAAGTTTAACAAAACCAATCATAAGTATATTATCATTTGAAAAACGTTTCTATTTAATCTCAAAAAATTCACTCTTTTATATCTATGATTAACCCATTAGGGCCCGATGGGCATACTTGCTCCTAGTCTGAAGACTGGGGTTTTTCTCTTATGCTTACACTTATTTTATAACGATCTGCAGCATAACTAGAGACACCTGCGATAAACTTTCATAAGTTGAACCGTTTCTTGTTCATGTCCAGCAATAGCACAATTTCGGTGATGGAAATATGTAACTATTTTCTTTAGGTGTGAAAAAAGTTCTTTCCGTTGCAAATCCAATGTTCCCAATCATTTCTATTTTATTTGATAATTACAAGTGTAAGTGAACATATTCCCTGTAATTTATGGCATCCGATTTCTATATTGGGTTTAAAAGTGCCCACTATGCATTGATGTAACACAACTTTATCTGCCCAACAATGGCTTCCATTTCGATGAAAGTTTATTTTTCCTGTGCATTATCATTTTAATTACTAGCAATGGGCTTTCCGTCTTACGAAATTCCGCTTTTCGGATCGAATTTTCTCCTAACTTCACCGTTATCCTTTCGATTTTGTTATCCCAGATATTGCTACGGCTTTCTAAGTGTGTTTCCTATTCCCCACCAAAAGCATATATCGGTTCCAGCTTTCCAGTTCCCCGACTTCTCTACATTCTCCAGCCAGTCCGTTTCCAATTCAAAAGAGTTTTTCGTCCGGCTCAGCCTAATTTTTTAAAAATGAGATAACACTAACAGAGAAGGATAAAGTTATTTCTCGTAAATTGTTGCGCGATCTTCTAACGCCTTATCGAACGGATAAAAATCTTTAAGAATTATGTCTTCTGTATCGGCGAAATTTGCCAACGAAATCACACCAACGATGAAGGACATATGGACACTGCAACGGCCGAATAGTGCAATCAAGCAAGATATTTACATCCAGAGTGTGAATTCGACTAAGTGCTGCTTAATTACAACAATACAATTCATTTTACTCTCAATAACTAAGCTCGTTCAAAATGCTTGTGGTAATGCCCAGTGGGCATGAAAGCGTTCAAGCCTTTAAGTCTGTATTTTGGAATAAATACCATCTTAAGTCAAAATATGTCTCATCCCTTCCACGTAAGTTTTTCTTCCCTGAAATGTCAGACAAACTTCTGGGCACTCAATGCAGATTTCTAATACCATATGCTAGGGCAGACTTATAGTTTTTAACCTTTGCAAAGACAATTCATAAGAAACAGCTGAAGGATGTGTTTGGAGGGAATGGGTATAAATAGATACACTCAAATATGGATACGTGAAGGAAGGATACTTACTCGTTGTCCTCTTCGGGAATTTGCTCATGGATCAACGGACTTGTTTGCGCATTTATATCAAGTTGCGGTCGTCGCAATGGCCATGTATTGCAACGATCTCTCGACACCGGTCCCAAGTCATCACTTTCCATGGCGTTATTCTCTGGATTAGGTGATGCATTCGGTAAACGAAAACGATTAGTGGATGAATTGATACAGTTCTGATCATTAACACTAGCAGCAGAATTGATATTATTAATGGGCGTGTGACTCGATAGAACACTTGGATTGATGGCTGATGTAGACTGTTGTTGACTTATACTGATGTCTTCCATTTTGATACATGAATTCGAAGTGGTTGAGATTGCAGATGTGACATTTATTAAACGACTTGCTGAGTTCGAATTTGTACTTGAAGATGAGAGCAACTGCACTGCAGACATATTTGAACCGTTACTATTCACCGGCATTTCTAACTTTGTCATCATCATAACAATAACGTTTATATATGCCCCCACCCAGCTATTAAAATCACGTTTATCTTTTAGATTAGGTTATCGTTGGCTTCTCCAGATAGTTATTGTTGTTTACTGGTTGTTCGAATAGAGCAGGTTTGAATAATGGAACAGTTAAGAAGAGATGATGATAATGCAGAATACAACGTATTGCAATTGACTGGTTTGGCTGAGTACGGCAAACGAACGAAAGGCGCTTTCTGATGGAGATGGAATGAAAAATGTTTGTAGCAAACTGATTTGTACGGGAGTAATGTCGATGAGGGCAGCAGCCAGGTGATATAACCGGTTGATTAATCGAAGTGACTGTCTGACTGTTGCTTGTAATGGTAGTTGAGTGAGAGAGGCGAACTCGTTTCAGGTACTGTTGTACAGGTACAATCAGATTATTCACTTAATCTTTGTTCTTATTTCTTTGGATCGCTCAACTCTTCCTTCCTTCCAGTCAAAGGCAACCTGCAAAAATACGGGTTTATTTTATCACTTCTCTCAGTTTAACGCTCTACATTCAACGATTATATTAGCACAAACATGTTACCATCAACAATTAAGTTGAATCTGAATAATAGGAATCGATGTCGCAACCGTCGAAGAACCAGAAACTATTGCTAAACAAACAAATTACTTTTGTTGTAGCACACACCACTAATCCCATTTCCTTATACCAACCATACAGACAATCATGCCAAAAATTCCTACCTGAGCAAACTACATGATATGATCGTTCTCCTATATCACCAATTTAAAGTCATTTCCAGTGGTGAAGAGGTTTATCATGAACATTTATTTGCAAACAAAGGAAGTACATAACCAACAGCTTACAAACGTATGTTTTAAGAAAGAAGTTACAGTTCGATAAAATTATCAACGTGTGAACGCAATACAATGAAATCAATCAATCGTTTTATAACAGTAACAGATAAACAATACAAAACGAGTCTTCCTTTCAAGTTATCACTAAAAATTCGTTATCACTTAACCACACTTATCGATAAGAATGACGCTTTAATGGGTCTCATACAATCAGATTGACTATGACCAGCATTTTTAATTTACGGAAAATCTCCAAAGTTTTACTTCATTGCCACTTTGTCATGATTTCGATTTACTAACGTATACTTTAGGTTTTAGCACCTCGAAGCTTCCCGACTATTGCATTCAAAATTCTTCAAACAGGAATGCTGGAGACAGAGTAACTGACTTTCAAGGATTTTTTTTTTCCACAGAATCAACCGTAGCTACCGATATCAAAAAATCACTGATAATCTTTATTAAATTTTAAAAATCAAGTTGTGTTAACTTTTAGAACATACTCTATGTTACAGTTCCTTACTTCCATTTTTTAGAACTCATCTTATCCACATCTTCAACTTACTTTACCTTTACCGAGCTGAACTATAAGTAAACCTCAAGTAAAGTATACAAGTAAAGTATACTTTAAGTGGTAAACTGGCAACACTAACTTCAACTAAAATGTGATGTGAGCTGTTGTATATAGCTGCTTAATTTATAGTATGTAATCTCAACCATCGATTCGACTGAACGCGATCGCTGAATGAAACGAAGCTATTATGATAAAAGTGAATCTTCTTTGTACACAGCAAACAGTTATGAATAAACAAATAAACACACATCATTTACTACCACAAAAATGAATGCACACATTTGATAAAAGAAATTATTCGATAAAAATAACGCATGCTACGTTTAGTTGAAAAAGCAATCTGATAGTGTTTGTTGTCAACTTCTTCAACAACAAAATTCAAATACGAACTAATTTCATGTTGACTTATTGAAAATGCATTTTCTAGAAAATTACACATCTAAACGCTAAATCAATAAGCAAAACAAAACTTTCGTAAAGTTGGACGATTTCCTATGCTGGTATCGTAAGCTGTAAGGAAAGAAGGATATTATGGGAAGACGAATAGAGTGACAGTGATGAGCATAAGCTCGTGACAAATGGATCTATTGATTAATGTGGAACTACAGAATGAAACAAAACACAATCAACAAATCGACAAACACAGTACCTGGCCTTACTTGATGTGAACGGCACATGAGTCTAGAAGAATACGAGCACAGCTGACTTTAGGTACTACTTTCTTCGGCTACTGCTACTCTTTCTACCCTAACAGTGAAATCAAAACGAATACCCACTAGACCAAAAACATGAAAACCGATTAGATTAGGTACATAAAAATTAAGAAAATGAACAACTTGAAGACTGAAAATAAATGGAATTCATTTCTTTGTTCAAGCATTACAATGGTATGAAATGAAATGAATGATAATCATCATGTTTTGATATAAAAGTGCAATAAATATGCAACAAGTATGACGGTGATAAGTAGTAACGCTTCCAAAATTGTTGTAGCTGAACTGTGTCGGACCGCTTCCAAAGGTGCGTTTTTATATGGGAAGTTTAGATTAAAACGCAGCTGACTACTGCTATCGTAGAATATGATCATTATTTGAACTGTTTTTGGTAAAATATATAATTGAAAGATGCACATTTCGAAAGACGCATCGAAAGCAACTTCTTTTTCTAATCATTTACGTACTTACCAACACACTCACATCTCTTCTGGATGATACGCAAGTAAGTCGGAAACTATTCATAATTTCAATATGACATACATTCAGTCTGCCTTACGCACTCTTACGATTGCAGTTCATGTCCTTGCAATTTTTCACAGAAAATTTTAACTCGATCGGACAATTTTTATGATGCTACTACAGTCTAAGCATAATAACAGTTTTCACGACGAAGTGACGTAAAATCAGTGGTCTGAATTGAGCGTTTAGAATATGGGTCACGGGTTACAGTGTGTTGCAAACGGCTGCACTCGAGTCGAGTCGAGAAGATCACAAGTGAATGATCAACCTGGGTTCGGATGGATCAGCACTCTTTGTTTCTTCTGGCTGCATTATACTAGCCAAACGGCGAACAGCAAAAATAATTGGCTGATCGAGTTCAGATTTGTGTGGGCAAATACGATTTATGAATGCCCAATTGTATGAGGTAATCAGATATACTGAAAGATGAACTCCGCTTGTGCTATTCATCGGTGCCGTTTGCCAGTGCATCGGCCATATTTAAACAGTAGCGTCAACATGAAAAACGACCCAATCAATTTCAAAACGTTCAAAGACCTCTAATCAATAAGTAACCCAATAGTATGCAAGGATTATTGTTGCGCACTCGCCAACGAATCGTTCAGGGATACTAACTCCATATTAACTCTAATTTTACTTATTTGCATATTTAATCAACCACTGCACTAACGTCTCTTTGTTATGCCCATGTCTCTACTTTCTTCACTCTTCTCATATGAAAGCAACCATCATCTTGAATCCCCATCTCAGCCATTCATTTAGTGATAAACTCAGAGGTATCGGAGCCACTCTTTCTTCGATCGTTAGGAAAGTCGGCTGATTTGGATATGATTTTTACTGATATACCTTGTTTTTTTCATGGCCTTGCATTATTCTCTCCAGTGATCTTTGTTAACACCAAATCTGTTGTTATTGTAGTAAAGGAAGCTGGCTCCGCATGGTGCTATTTTAAATAAGCTGTAAATTGGTGCTTCTTCTGGCGAAGAATTCCATGAATCGCGTGTTGGATGACATTGCGAATTATTGAGATTTTATTTCAAAGTAACATGATGTTGCATTAGAAAATTACATTTACGTTTATAACGTCTGTTTGAGAAGCTCAGTGTTTGCTTTACTATTTAGAAGAGCATATTAGATGCGCTGATTACGATTACTAGGTTGGCTTTAATACGCAACTGATCACGCGGAAGTATCTTATTTGCTTGTAGGTTTGTTTATCATCATCATCTCACATCATAAGTGTTTGTTGTTCATTTCAGGAGGAACATCTGAAAGGCTGCGACGTAACGAATGAGTGATCAGCCACTCGTATCCTCGTCAGGTATAAAAAATAGCAGTTGACTGATGAATTGAGTTGATCATTGAGTTGGTGATGTTGATCATTCTTGTTTATAGCTGATCAAGACGATAAACCCTCAACGAGTGCCACGTCAACTGCAGCAGCAGCAGTCACATGCAAGATGCCCGAGAATGCACAAAATGTGACAGTGAGTGACGCTGGTGCGAGGTATGATCAATGAGCCAGCTTGAGAATTGGTTGCTCATTCAGTGAATCCGCAAAAACGTTATTTTTGATTCAGCTGAATGCATTGCAGAGGTGCGGATGCGATCGACATGCTCGCCAGAGAAGCGGAGGAGTTGCGTAAGAAATTAGAAATGGAAAGACAAAAACTTAACGATGTTTCCAGTTGGTTTTTCTGCTGCTATCACTCACTCAAAATAACATATCCACTGAAGTTTTTATGAGTTCAGTGAAAGTAATTTATTTTTGTGGGGATATATGCGATCATTGAATTCGTTCCTTAGAATGTGCTCATCATTTAAATCGCATTTTGAATAAGGTTCAGTATGTGTTTCTAGCTTCATTACTAATCGAATAAATACATATCAATCCCTGAACGGAAATTTGTGAAGAATGAGACACACAATTTTGGCTATTAAACGACAATTATCAATGAAAGATGAGTATCTAGCTTATTGAAGCACTTATTGTGTTAATGTCTCGTCTAGTCTCTTTACTGAACGCTGTACCTTTAATGCTAATAGAAGTGAGAAGGTTGTCAACTTATAGAAATTAGCTTGATGAAATAGGTTTATTCATAGGACGATGTGCAGGAAAATGATTTCAGTTGAACAAGCTGCTGAAAGACTCGAACCATTAACACAACTGAGCATCAAACAAAGGCGTATTCTGAAAGGTCACGCTGGTAAAGTTCTGTGTATGGATTGGTCACTTGATAAACGACATATCGTTTCATCATCACAAGTAAACATTTATTTTATAATTGTTGTTGAGAATGCTTTCATAATGTCATTAAAGGATGGCAAGGTGATTGTATGGGATGGTTTCACCACCAACAAAGAGCATGCTCTCACGATGCCTACCACGTGGGTTATGGCGTGTGCATATTCGCCGAGTGCTCAGATGATTGCTTGTGGGTGAGTGATGAACGCGTTATTGCATTCGTTGTTCAGCGTTTAAAAGTTGTGCTCTTTTGCAGAGGTTTAGATAATAAATGCTCAGTTGTACCGTTGAGTTTCGAAGATGATATTCTGCAGAAGCGTCGTTCAGTTGCAACACACACCAGTTACATGTCTTGTTGTACATTCCTGAGATCTGATAACCTTGTAAGTAAGCTTTCTGTTTTCATCAGTTCTTTCTGTTCGTTGATTGCTTTTATAAATTGCTTATCGCTCGCAGATGCTGACGGGTAGTGGTGATTCAACTTGTGCAATTTGGGATGTAGAAAGTGGACAGATGATCCAAAACTTTCATGGTCATACGGGAGATGTGTTTGCTGTCGATGTACCGAAATGTGATACGGGCAATATTTTTATCTCTGGAGTAGGTATTTTCATTAGATCTTCCATTTATCCTCAAATTTTGATCGAAGTAAAAGTCTGCGTCACCTCAGAGAATTTCCCTTCATTTAATGACTGAACTCTTTAAATGAAATAAGTTGGAATGTGAATTAAGGGCGCTGATAAACACGCGCTTGTATGGGACATTCGAAGTGGGCAGTGCGTGCAGAGCTTTGAAGGTCACGACGCCGACGTGAATACCCTTAGATTCCATCCGAACGGGGATGCGTTTGCAACGGGTTCTGATGATGCGTCGGTGAGTAGTGGTCGTTGTTGTTGTGCAAAAGTAATGTTAACAAATTTAGTGTCGACTGTTCGATTTACGTGCCGATAGACAAGTGTGCGTTTATGAAAAGGAATCTGTGCTCTTTCCAGTGAATGGTGTTGACTTCAGTTTAAGCGGTGAATTACATGTTATTGTATTATTTGTTCGAACTTTAGTTTTGATGATGAGCGCTTGAAATGATCTGCTTTAAACGATATGGATTTGCAGGAAGAATTCTATTTGCTGGTTATGGTGATTACCGTGTTGGAGTGTGGGATTCGTTGAAATGCGTCCGTCATTCGGTACTTTATGGTCATGAAAATCGTGTTTCTTGCTTGCGCACAAGTCCTGATGGTACTGCGATATGCACAGCCAGCTGGGATTGTACGATACGAGTGAGTAATGTCATTTTTTTAGGCTCGTATATTGTCGATGTTGAATCTTGTTCACATATGTTATTGTTTTTTTTTTCAGATTTGGGCATGACTTCTGCAGTGGATCATTATATGCAAAACATGTCAAACATCTAGTCAAGTTTAGCATTCGTTCAAAAATTATCAAATGTTCTCTGACTTTATTCCTTCTTTAATTATTCGTGGTCGTTATATCACGCCGAATTTTATAGTATGCCGTTGAATTTGTTTGTTATACTATATTATTCATCTACAGAGGAACATCACTTCAGTCTTCCGCAGATTTCATCAAAAAACTAAGTCACTATTGCAGCATGTACAAAGCGAGATGAGTCTTCAGTGTCTATGAGTATAA